AATATTAATAATTATTGCTATTTCTAATATTTTGTCTACTGTATGCAGAGCCTCAGAGTAATAAAAGTTAAAGTATTTTATAAAATTTATAGTACAACAATAATAAAACCGCCTAATCTCTTTACGCTTGTCACTTGTTATGTCTAGTGGCACCACTACACGAGTGTAACCATGTCACAGACACAGAATCTCTGTGTGAGAATCGCTACATCAATATGGCGGAAAGCAGTCCCCCCCGCACGCTTGAATTACCATCCCCTCTCGCCTAAACTAGGACTTTAGACTCAGTCCCTCTATTCCTTAGTCCGTGTTTTCACTACATTGCTTGATACACAATCAACCACTGCGTGTAGGAGCCATGATAGAGGAAATATAAACGAGCGATCAGACAAAGAAAGGTAGTAAGATTGTTTTGTCTCTTTTCTTCGCAGGCTTATTAAAAGACTCCATTTTTTTATATACATATGTGTAGAGTATACATATGAGTATATACATGTATAGACTTCAGTAAAGAGAGTCTACAACAGAAAGAGATAAAATAATCCGAATGCTCTTTTTGTGTGATCGTATTTTGAGCAGCACGGCGCTTTCCAGTTTGTATAAAGTTCATTGAATTTATGTAAATAACCAAAATATAATAAAAAGAATTTTCAGTTAACTTCCTTTATTTAATAAAAATTGCCAAAAAACTGTTTTATTTCTTTATGGTCAAGGTGATCTTTTCCCGTAAAATCCAATTCAAAAAGACCATCTACTGTAGCAGCATACATATGGGCACTATCAAATTCTAGAGAAGTTATAGCTGAGTTATCCACATCATACGTCTAAAAATTTTTAGGACAGTTAATAATAATTCACTAATACAGTACAAGATATAAAATATTTCAAAATAATACAAACTTGAATGGCAACACTCTGTCTCTGATCCCATAGAACACCCATAAAGTGTCCCGTCATAAAAGTGTACACATTATCTGATGAGCAACAGTATGAATAGTGATATTTGAAAGAATCCCATGTACGTACAAATTCGAATGTTCTGAAATCACAGTAACAAATATAAATAAATTGAATAGCTAATTAGTACTAACAATAAGATTTATTACCTTATATCCATTTTTTTAATAGAATATTTAAAACACATGAGAATAGTGTGAGGATCCTCCCACAGTAGTTGCTGACAACAACCATCGTATTTTTTATTTATTATCTGATAACTAAAATTTCTTTACATTAGTTTGTTGTATATTATTCCAAATATATCCACACGGAACAAAAATCTTTAATGGATATCCACTAGATGTCCATCATGGAGATTCGAAATCTCTTTAGATGTCCATGTAATCTCTTATAGATGCTACTAGGCATCCAAAGTTCCGCATTACATATGTACCTCTATTCAACATCTATTACATATATTCATAGATATCATATGGAGCAATCATAGATGTTTCAGATATTTCATAGAGCTTTGATGGATTGTAGTTTCAATTCATCATTAATAAAATTATTTGGAAGTAAAATCACAAATGTGATTACGAGATAGTCTTGTTTATGTAGGTGTTAACAGAATGTCACCATGTTCTCGACTGTGAGACAGTCGAGATAATCCTCAGGACATTGAGATGTCCCTAAGATGTCATAGGATGTTTTGTGCTGTGTGGGATCTAATATCCATCGTAGAGATAAATGTAGTATGGAATTATGGAGATTATATGGACGTCCATTGGATGTCATGTTCTGTGTGGGTACGTACTTGATTAGGTTCATATGTATAATATTTTTGCAGTTTCACATTTTTTACAATTTTCGGGTTATCAAACCGTCCTTGTAAGTTATAATTAGAATTGTTATTAAATCGGATCATATAACAGTGTCTGTATAAACATAGTACATAAGTACGTTTACACGTTAATCGGGTTTCATAACTACGGATGTTACTAAACCCAATTGAGATTGACGTGTAAATGTAGTCATTGTGTTTAATTGACCATTTGTAGAAACCGATTAATTAATTGAAACATAATTTACCTTTTATCAATATCGTGAATTAGAAGCGACGACATACAATTAAACTCGTAATAATAATTGATGGAACTAGCTGCAAATTTTGTTCCTATAGGGTCAAATGAGATTGATGTAATTTCAAATTCGTCGTTTCCACAAAATATTTTGTTTTCTTTCGTACAACCTTTTCTATCATCTGTATATTTCAGTATCTACAAAAACAAACTTTTTACATACTACATTAACAAAGCATTATTGCAATTTTTCTTTAAACTTACATCTATTGAATTTCCAGAACCAGTTATAATGAGTTGCGATGTTGCATTTATTTGTTTAATTTTATAAAATATATTATTTATTTTTAAAGGTTTAAAAAGATCACCATTTTGATTATCCTCAATTTCCCAGCGACAAATATTACCATTACTGCAAGAATTTTTGTCAAAAATAAGAAAAAAAATAAACATAAAACACAGTTCATAAATAAATACTCACATGTCGCCACTTATAATATAATTATCGCAAAGAGCAAAAGATTCAATAAAATAGTGGTTATTCTCCAGAATCATTTTATCCTTTTCAATGGTACCGTTCTCTGTGCGATTATAAGCAAGAAGATCACTATTACCACAAAACCAAACCTTATTTTTAGTCATTTGTACGCATTTATTATTATCTACATGGTAATTATCGTCTTTTTTTACTTCATATATTTGTCTTCTTTTATATCCTTCATTAATCCAGTTGTAATTTGTAATAAATTTAGAATTTTTATCCAAAGATAAAAGTGGTTTACATCTGTAAAAGAAAATAAGACATGTGTTTTTCAATGTGATCTAATGTAAAATCGTGAATATCTATCTTCTGTAAATATGTAAATATTGAAATTTATTTGAAAAAGATACAATTAAAAAATTAAATCAAGTTTTGCTAAATACAAGATAAAAAGTTGTGACTTAAGGGGATCCTAAAGTGGTCTGTTTTACCTATTACTTTCAAATACACTATACTTTATTTTGGCCGTGTAGAAAAAACCTTAATTGAAATTAAAGTACATATGCTAATACACTACAGACGGTCGATTTGAAAAGATTTTTCAAGCTACGCAGCCAAAAAAACGAAATTTACGTAAAATAGAAGGTAAAACAGATACTGTATCTGGCTTGAAAAATCCTTTCATGTCTGGCTTGAAAAATCCTTTCCGTTCATTCGTAGTGTATTAGCATATGTACTTTAATTACAGAAAAGGATTTTTCATTCTACACAAAAAAAATATAGTGTATTTGAAAAA